AGGAAGTTGCACCAAATTTGGAAACAGTTTCAAGTTTATAATTGGATAGGGAGTAAATACTTGGGAATGTAAACAGAGGGGCAAGTCAGAAATCCAAAGATCCTCCCAAAAAAAGTACCTTATTCCCACAACCCACATCAAAACAAATAAAATTAAGAAAATAAGGAAGTACCTCTATTATTGCTTTACACGGGGAGTTTTTTTTTTGAAGAGTAAAAAAGGAAAATATTCATTAAAATAAAAAGTCTCAATACAATCATCAGCGGGTGATGAGGCAGCACCCAGATCGTCAAAATCCAAAATATCAAAGAAGCAACAACAAAAGAAAGAAATGGCAAATACTGCATAGACCTCACAAGAAAGCAAGTGATTACATCTCCACAGAAACACTAACAGAGGCACACAGACCAACACTTCTCCCCAAAAACATTAATCATCTCTTTCAAACACTTCTTCATTCCATCTCCATCCTCATCCTCGACTCTCCTCCTACCCCTACTATAATCTTCTTCAGTCTCTCTTCCCTCTTGCTCTTCTCAGAAGTCTCAATAGCTTTCCTAGCAAGCTCTTCTCCGCCCCAAAAGAACAAATCTAAACTCTTTCCATTGCTAACGTCTCAATCAGCCAGGTTCTCAATCTCCAGCACTACTCTCTTTACCTCCTTGGTGCCTGAAAGAATCTCCTTCGTCTTCTTTTCTACAGAAACTCCACCCTCCTTTAACCTAGCAATTAGCTTTAGAACTTCCTCGGATACCTCCAACGATTGGATCACCACCCCTACTAAACCTTGGGAATTTGTATGTGTCTTCTTCCCCTCCACCTTCTTTGGACCCTTAAGTGTCAAACCCTTTTTCTTATAAACCCTCTTGTATTTGCTTGTTGGACCAGCCCCAAACAGGCCTTCTTTCAATCTAGAAAAAAATTTTGTAACATGCACTACATGAGAAATATTTGCAACCCGGGCTCTCTTAGATGCCTCCTCCCCTGCATGATTATCAGGGTTCATAAACTTCCTTTTTCTCCCCAAATCAATTCCTAGTCTTCCCACAACCACTTCAAATTTTGAGACTTCCTCGCTGCTTCCTTATGGTCTGCACTCTCCATCTCTGTTATCACCCTTCATATAAAAATTATCTTCTAAGCTTTTCTCTTCAGTCCTTACAGAAGGTATCTTAACATCCACTCCTTCTTTAACACACCCTTCCCCCTTTACTCCTTCCACCACTATTTCTCCCACGCCTACGTCCTTAATCTCCACCCCCCCCCCTTCTAGCCTCACAACAGCCTGAAAAGACTGAACACACCTCCCTTCTTGAAGAAAACCATCTTGAATCTCAACTGAAAAGGAACCAAAGCTAAGGACGCAACCTACCCGTAAGYTGAGCTCCATCCTGGTCTTCTCTTTTTTCAACATGCAAAGTGCATTTGAGAAACATTCACTGTCCTGCACCTCATGAGCAACCAGATTTCGATTTTGTTCCAACCCATCTCGGGCGTTAACCATCCTCAAAAACACTTCCTTCCTCCCTGTACTGTCAAACGTGGCGACCTTCCAAAACCCAATCCTTGATCTTCCTTATTCGAGCTTTAGTTGAGACTCCTCCTCACAAGGCTTGCAAACTTGGGCCCTGTTTGATTTCACTTTTAAAAAGTACTTTCCACAAGTACTTTTAAGACATGGGACCACACATTAAGTGGTTTTTAAGTACTTATAGGTGTTTGGTAAAAAAGTGGGGAAGAAGTACTTCTTGTTAAAAGAAGCACTTCTTAAAAAAGTGACCTGGATGTGGCTTTTTTTCAGCACTTTTTGAAGAAGTGATTCTTCATTCGAATGGGACGAACCTATCCCTATTTTTTAATGACAAAAATACCCATGTGTGAGGTTATYATCCTCCATTCGAAACCCTACAACATACCAAGCAGCAACAGCGTCAGTTGCAGGTCCACCAGCGATGTTCGACGGTGAGAAAAAAACGGCCAGCGGACCTATCGTTTTGCTCTTATCTTTGTTTTTCTGTAGTATTCCATCAATTTGAGTCTATTTTTTGTGCTTTTCTGAAGTCTGAAACTCCCCTTTTCACTCTAGTCGCAGATCTATGTTTGGGCGACTTCAACGGCAATATATCCCAACGTCCAGCCGCCAGTGACTAGAAGGTGAGTTCGCCCAAACTCCTCCCCTCCATGTTTGGTTTTTTTTTGGGTTTTTTGGATTATTATTTCTCTTATTCGATTTTTTTTTGGTGTTTCATATGAGAAATCCGAAATTCTTTTGGGTGTTTTTTGTTAGAAATCATGCAAAAAAAAATTGCTTAAGTTGGATGAATATTTATGTATATTTGTGTGAAAATTTGCTGAACTTGGATGAATATTTGTGTGAATATATTCTTCAATTGTGATTGGATTTTTTTCTTTTTTTGATATGAATATTTGTGTGAATATATTCTTGAAGAGTGAAAATTTGTGAATTTTTTCATGAATTTTTGTTGGTGATGTTTTTAATATTTTTTGATAACGCACTTTTTGGAAGGAATTTGTGAAAATCGCTCCCTAAAAGCACTTTCGGGAAGTATTTTGTGAAAAATGTGCCTTGAAAGTGCTTTCTAGAAGGAATTTGTGAAAAYYRCTCCCTAAAAGCACTTTCRGGAAGTATTTTGTGAAAAATGTGCCTTGAAAGTGCTTTCTAGAAGGAATTTGTGAAAATTGCTCTCTAAAAGCACTTTCTGGAAGTATTTTGTGAAAACTAGTCCTTAAAAGTGCTTTCTGGAAGTAATTTGTGAAAACTACTCCCTAAAAGCACTTTCTGGAAGTATTTTGTGGAAACTAGTCCTTAAAAGTACTTTCTGGAAGTAATTTGGAAAACTGCACCATAAAAGCACTTGCTGAAAGTATTTTGTGAAAACAGCACCTTGAAAGTGCTTTCTAGAAGTAGTTTGTAAAAACTGCTCCTCAAAAGCACTTTCTGGAAGTACTTTGTGAAAAATAATCCTTGAAAATGCTTTTTGGAAGTACTTTGGTGAAAATTGATCCTTGAAAATGCTTTTTGGAAGTATTTATCATTTGTTGTTGTTGTTGTTGTTGTTGTTGTTGTTGTTGTTGTAGTTATTATTATTATTATCATCATCATCATCATCATCATCATCCATGTGGCATTCCATGATTATTATCATCATCATCATCCATGTGGCACTCCACAAGGGCTCTCATGTGTCATGATATAGTGATGTGGCGATTTTTCATTGAAATGTATATTATAATGATTGTGATGAAGCTATCTGGGAATATTTTTGTTCTTTATCTGGTTGCAGAAGGGATGCATGATCATCATTTATACTATATGAGAATCCAGCTTAGCATCCCAGCCATTTTCCCCTAATCCATGTATGCTTTCAATGACCTTGTACCACAGCATATCTCCTTTTTGAGAGAACCTCCAAGGCCACTTCCCTAATAGAGTCGTATTCCTCTTGGTCAAATCCCCAATTCCTAATCCACCTTGCTCCTTATATTTACACACCTGTTCCCATTTTAACAAGTGATCTCTCCTTTCATCCCCCGGTTCCCAAAGGAAGTCTCTCATAATCTTTCTAGCTGTCTAGCTATTTTGACAGAGATCCTAAAGGTAGACAGGTAGTAGATAGGCAGATTTGCCAATGTGGACTTAATTAACGTTATTCTTCCTCCCAAGTCCCAAAGAGATGTAATTCCTTTTCCATATAACCAACTTTTTGCCAAATCTTTCTATAACTAGTTCCAAAAACTTTCTGATCTTGGGTTTCCCCCCAATGGTAGGCCAAGATATTCTAGGGGTCAATCTTTTACCTCACATCCTAGGGTTCCTACCAATGATTGAATGTGTCCCTCTTCCATGTTGGTTTCTGCCACATAGCTCTTTCCCCAATTCACATTAAGATTTGACATTCTTTGGAATTCATTGACTGTTCCCTTAAATTTCCCAAGATAGCTTCATCACAATCAGCCATTTAAGTTTTATTTGTCACCATTGAAACACCAAGCTCTCATCTTAAGGTGTCATTCATCTCTTTTCTCTTTATTCACAGCCTCAGACCTACCCTTTCTCTCTTTTCTACCATAAGGATAAAGAAATAAGAAGGTGCTTGATCAGTTAACAGTAGAAAATAGACTGCATGCTATTGTCTATTTTTATGTTTCCCCATGTATTCATGGAAAACATGTACCAGATGGCTGGCTTTTATAGCTAATCCAGTCAACAAGACTGCCACTTCTCTGCAACACTAGTTCCAAACTTAACTTAAGCTGATTGGAGTTAAAAATGAATTTGAAGTTATGCACTCGTAAGTTCATATTTTTCATTATTGCATATCCAGATATTCAGTTGATTTGCAGGCTTCCTCTACAACAGTTGCTTCATTGATGAAATTTTAAGCATTGGTCTACCATGTGTTTACCCCACAAGAGAGGGAATACCTATGTAGAGCTTCTTGCATTCTTTGTATATTTGATCCCTATGATAATATAATTGCCTAAGTTTCAGCAGTTTTGGAGCTCATAAATGTGTAACTAAAAAGAATCACCAACTGTCACTTCTCATGCATTTTGCACTTTCTAAGGCCATGCCTCTTGTACAGAATTTACAAAGTCATTTGAGAGTTCTTTGAGATGTTAAAGTTCAAAAACATAGGGGCTCAGTGAACATTATGAAAGTAATAAGAATAGCAACAACAATAATTCCAAAAACAACAACAACAATGGAAATGAAGATTATACTTTATAGAATTTGCTGCAAACTAGAAGGAATAAAATAACTGCAGATGGTAGAGAAATTAAAAGCTTGTTAACAAAACTTGTTTATAATGTCTTCAGTTCTTTCAATTAAGTATATACTCATGGCAACATGGATAACTAAATGAAGCAAGAAAACAACTATAAATAAGAAAAAATAAAAAGAAAAAAGAGTAGAAGTATAACTTCTACATTGACTTAACTATAAAGTGTAAGTAAAATAAGTAACCAGAAAATACCTTCTTCCCAGCGTAAAAACTAGTATCACCCCACTTGGATTCAATACCAGATGGAAATTTTGCTGGCAAAGGAGAAGTCATGGAATCCATGCACTCATCACCTTCTGAAGGCCTTTCTTCAAATGAAACAGTTTTCCTACTATAAGGAGAATCAGCATTAGTTGACTCCACCATATTATCAACAGTATACTCAAGGCCTTCAACTATTTCACCAACTGAATCATCAGTTTCAGGAAGGCTAGAAAGAATCCCATTATCAACGTCTACGCTAACAACACCAGGACCATCATTTTCGGGAATACTAGAAGCAACTCCATTATCAATGCCTACACTAACGTCACCAGGACCATCATTTTCAGGAATACTAGAAGCAATTYCATTATCAATGTTTTCACCAATAGCATCAGGCTTTTCAATGTTTTCACTAACAGGATCAGGCTTTTCAATGTCTTCACTAACAGCAGTAGGCTTTTCAGCTGCACGAGATACAGGAGAACCAGTGAACCTAAAATCAAGCGGCAATGATCGGATTTGTTGTAATGCAGGTTGAACCCGGGCTTTTGGCACCGGCTTTCGTGGCATTTTATCTGAAGAGCTCCGCGATCCTGACCTCTCAGAAGAGCTTCTCGACCCTGATTTCTCAGAAGAGCCTCTTGCTCCGGATTTCTCAGAACTTTTTGATCCTGTTTTATCAATAGAGCTTCGCGACCATGGTTTCTCAGAAGCACTCCGGGACCCAGATTTCTCAGAAGTGCTTCTCGATCCTGGTGAATGCCTCTGAACTGACGCCATTATATAAATATCAAGAGGGGAGAAAGAGAAAAAAGAAAAAGGGGAAAAAGAAAAAACGAAACCCTTCTTTTATCCTCAAAAGGGGCTTTCGAGCTTTAACAATGTCCCCACCGCAACTTATCTGTTCGACAAAATGGCGGGGACGTTAGTGTTAGAAACAGAGCATAGTGCTGTTCGTTCCCTCAATCATCAATGACAAGTCCAGACAAACACACTGCACCAATTCAAAACATTCAGCGATACCCAAATGCACGAAAGTGCCAAAGATCTCACTCGCACTTCCTCAACTCCAATTTTACCTTCTCTTAGGAAAAAGAACAAAGACAAAGCAAATCAAATCAAAGAAAACCAAGAACTCCAAAATTTCGTACTCGCGCCTTCTCTATTTGAAAAACTGCCTCAGCAGCTTTACTAGATAAATGGATCAGAACTTCATTTCCTTGATCTGACTTCAGAAGAAGGGGAAAAAAAAAAGCAAGCTTTACCAACTCCTCTGAAGCTCAACAACTCCTACTCCTTCGAAGCTCCAACCGGTCGTCAACACCAGAATAAGCTTCAATACCTTTTGCTAATGCTCTTCTGCAAAGCCCAGTTGAACCTTAAAAGAATACTCAAAACCCGCTAACCTTCTACTGATCTACTTCCAGAATGCGATCTAAATTCCTATAAAACCTTCAAAAAAACTGAAATTTTGAAAAAAAAAATGAAGCACCATCTTCAGCAAAATAAAGGACTGTATAACCTCAAAGAGGCCCAATTAAAGAATGCAAATTGTCAGTAAAGCTACTCAGAGCTCCGATTGATCCGCTTTGCGGGACGAACTCAAGAACAGGAACAGCCAGAGAAATCCACAGACCACCAAAGTAATCTCAACATTCAGTGCTCAAATTCACGAAAACCACCGAAAGAATTCAATGATCCAAATTCGGTTATAAAACCAGAATTAATTTCTTCTTCGACTCGATCTTCGCTCCTCTGCATAGAAAATCCAAAGCGTGTGGAGCGAGCAGCCTTCGCCTTTCCTTTTCCTTTTTTTCTTTGTCACGTAAAAAGAAATTCAGTCATCGAAGTCCCGGGTTTTTTTTATTTTTCAAAAAAAAAACTATTTAAAAGAAAATCTGAAATATGAGTAAAAAGACCATAACACCCTTTTCTTTTTCAAAAATGGCAACAGACTCATGCCAGCCTAGGTTGTACATAGACCCCCTACCAACCACAAAAACTTTATATACACGCACAATCTGGTCCATGGCTTCATTTCTCACCTGCTACTTCACGACAGACCCCCAGCCTCTCAATTCATCATGGGCTCCAGCACTTCTTATTTGTCCACCCTTTCAACAATTTTTTGTTTGAAGATTTTCTCTTTTAATACTTCAAAGTCTACTAAATTTCACCAAAGCAAGATTAAGAATGATTTAAGTAAGTTTTAATCCAATAATTAAGAATGATACAGCACCAATAAGCACCATCATTTGAATAAAAAATTAAAAGGGTATGTGAAAAATCAGTAGAAATGTTTTGTTTGAGAGGTTCAAATTATTGAAATATATTGTCCATATCGACGAATATGTATTGTAGGGTCACCAATATGTTAAAAGAAGTATTTAAGGCCTGTTTGTTTTTCAGAAGTTATTTATCCAACTAAATACATTCATTCAGGTAAACATTTATGAGAAAACATTTACTTGGACAAGTGTATTCACTCATGATCTTTTATTCCCAACTAAATAAGACAACGACCAATTTAGCCATAAAAAGTCATTATTAAAAGAGTAATTTTGTTTCATCCAAAGCCCCATTTGTTTACTATTAAATAAGGGGAAAAATAGGTGGGTATCTCTTTCCCATTGACAACTTTATGGTGTTCTTTTTGCATTAAATAGTAGGCCCCACAATAAAAAGAGTTTCATTTACCCATCTCCCAAGTGAGTAAACAACTTTCCCATTGGGGGAAATTTATAAAATATAATGGGACAAATTTGTCATCGTCAACATTAGCTTTTTAAGGGTAAAGAGGTCATTATATTGCTCATCTAGGAATCATAAAAAATATATGGATAAGTGAACTTACTGGAGTAAGTGTTACCCAAAAAACATTTACCTAGGTAAGTGAGAAATTTGTAAACAAATGAGACCCAAGTGTTGGCAATTTTCCTTACATGTGGGAAAGTTACCCASTTAGGAAATGGGTGCCACTTACCTAGGTAAATGATACATAAGGAAAATAWATTTTTCATGAACCCCACAAATCTGAAAAAATAACATGGGTATCTTTGTCAATGGGAACCAAAAATCCCATTGACCAACTATCTCCCCACTTAAAATCCAAAAAACTAATGGGCCCTAAATGATTTCAATTATTTGAAAGTTGAAACCATTTTCTCCATTCCCTTAACCTCTCCTCGAACCCTAGTGGTTGTGGGATTTGGTCCTAAGTCTTTTGCTACAACGAGCCAAACATCCTTCCAACTGTGCCACCATTAGGTGGTAATTATTTGAAACTTGAATAAGTGATGCGATGGATTAAATTACCAAATTGGAAAAAGTGGGTATTTTTTGGTAAAAAAGTTTTATTTTTTTTTTTTTTTTTGCAATATCAATGAACAAATTTATTATATTGACAAATCCTATTATGTTTACAAACAAATGATGGAATCAGCTAGGGAATAAGGGTGTCAATGGACTGGTTTTGGTTTGGACCCCGTCCACTCCAAAATCAATTTGGATAGATTGGACAGACCAACAAGACATATTGGATTGGACCAATTCTATCCAAAGTATTTATTAGATTGGATTGGACCTAGTTCGTCCATAATAAATTTATATTAGATTTGGTTGGATTAAGCCAGTATTTGGTCCATTAATATAAGATAATAATATAGGTATCAATGGACTGGGTTTGGGTTGAAACCAATCTAAATCAAAACGGATTTGAACAGATTGGACAGTCCAGGCACTGAATTGGACCGATCCAAAATATTCATTGGATTGGACCTAGTATAATGGACTAGATCGGATTGGACCAAATCCAATCCAATTGACACCCCTATTAGAGAAGAAGATTCAAAACTTTTGGACAAAAATACTCTTGCAATAAAAAGGAGGGAAAGAAGAAAGAAAAAAAAGGAAAGAAAAAGAAAACTCCTCACCATAATACAGGCGGGAGATTTCTTACTCTATACCTTCTCAAGAACTCAGAACCCCTTGCTAGAAGCTTAGAGCCCATGGTCTTATAAATAATATTATTTAATTTTTTCTATTCCATCCATATATCCATTGTTTTGATTTCGAAAGTTCTAAGTCAAAATTCTGGTTGTGAATAAATCTGATGTTACCATTCTATTATGTGAATGATTTTTGTTTTGAAAATAATTTGACACATTAGTTGGGGATTCATGAGCTTTATTGTTCTTATTAGCAAATTAAATAAGATTTTGGATTCGTTTTATTTGTATTTTATGTTCGGGCTTGTTCATTTGCTCTGAAATCTGACATTTGAAAGTGCAATAATTACATTGAGATATATATTGGTATTGGTGAACTTTTCTTTTCTCTAAATTCTGAATGCAAAAAAAATGTTGTTTTGAATTCTGAATTCTAAAAATGATTAAATATCCATTTTGATTCCATATATGAGAGTTTTTGTTTGTCTTTTCGAAGGCATCATTGGAAAATAAAAGGTTGTATGATTGAACTTTAAGAGATAAGAGGAAATGAACAACCATTTTTCTCTTAAAGTTAAAAAATTCCTCTTAAGAGATAAGAGTTAAGAGAAAACGAACATACTCGTCGTTTTGTTTSTGTGAAGAACCTTTGTTTCCCGATATGGAAGAGTAATAATTCGTTTCAATTCAGACCCTCTAACAGTCGTGGTTACAGAAAGTCACCTGTTCTAATCGAAGAGTTAATTCTAATTATTCTTTAACCTTGTCATTGTTTTACTCAATCAAGGTGGCCATGAGATTTCTGAGGATATTCTCATTTGGAAAAAGAAGAAAGTAATCGTGCACACTTGTACTAAAAAATGGCATATTTAGTATTCTCGTTATAGTTGATCAGTTTTTCATAATCTCTAGAAACAATCTGAATTCCGGTATGTTCCATCGAACAAAATCGATTAGAAAAAAACTGAAGCTGAAATATAGAAATCCTATTCTAATTTGAGAAGATATCTTCTTCATTTCTGCCACTACCATGTTCTTCATGATGATTCAGAAGTTTAAAGCCCCATTTGGTTTGTAGGAATAGGGGGTCTAGAATCGACATTAGAATGGGCTATTCCTATTCCAATCATTTGGTTGGGTAGAATCGATAATGGCATTTCTCCATTTGAGGGAATGGACATTCCCTATCCTTCCCTTGGGAATGAAATCTCATTTCTGTCTGAACCAAACAGATTATAGGAATAGACCATTCCGATTCCAATTCATACTGCAAACCAAATGGACCCTAAATACAATAAACTTCATGATTTATATTATAATTTATAAAAAGCATCCCAAAAAAAATCAATGCCCCAATTTTAGGCTTTATGCTTTAGAACTTAGAGATACTCATAACAAAAAACTGTTCCAACACATTCCAACATGATCTGTGTCGCATGTTGTAAACATGATGGGTCTCAATCTCACGGTGAAATGTGCGAACATAGATCATGTTGGAACCATGTTGGATTTTGTAAGTAAATCCAGTTCAGACTTAGAAAGGGTTTTGGCTTCCAATTCTTTTTTTTTTTTAATTGAACATCTTAGAATGCTTTTTTTTTTTCAATATTTAATCTCAACAGGCCAAAAGCAGAAAAGCAAAAACTTATCCAAACATAATTTTTTTGGATTATAATTTTTAAGTTTTTTTTTTTTTCCTTGAGAGGATGTAATGCAATAAAGTCAAATTAGGATGCAGGAAGGTGGAGCCATGTGACAAAATAAACCAAGGATGGCCATAGGGCACATGCTTAAGTTTGAATATTTTGGTTGGTAAGCATTTCTCACTACTAATTAACTTCAATTATTGATAATTTTTCTTTTCTCGTAAGAAATATTCTAAAATTAATTTTTCAATAAGTGCGTTATTTAATTCGATAATAAACTACACAGCTGGATGGAATAGAAATAATTTTGAAGATTTTGCTGGCTGTATTCGTGTAGACTGTAGTGATAAGGGTAGTCAAAAGTAATTAATCGTGGAGAGGGCATGGATGTCATTTTAAAAGAAGTCGGCAGAGACGGTACTCACGGTAGGGACAAATGGAGGGTCATTTTCGTCATTTGACAACGTTACCATTACTAACGGTATTTAATAAATAGTTTGGTTTGACTGGAGATGAAATTATTTGGTAGTTTGGTACTTGAGATTTTTGAGAAAGAGAAAAAAAAAAGGGAGTCAAAAGGTGAGATAAACCGCGGGACCCGTTTTAAAATGGAGCGTTCGATCTGGACGAAGGAACCGTTGATGAGAGACACGTGGAACAGTTAGGCGCCATTAAGCCACGTTATAGGCTTTCTGGAAAGCCGGCACAAGGGTCTGCTACGTGGCTCAGTTGGCTGTCGCCAGTCGCTACTTTTTGAATTGTGGACCTGTCGTACTCGTATCCTGGCCGTTTCCAATCGGCTTCCTCTGACTCAGCTCGGCTCAGCCAACACTAGTGAATACTGAGTTATAACCCGGACAAACATTAACGACCAGATGGTACAGATTCGATACATCAAGGCCCATCATTGGATGTAGGGAGGGCCTGCACAAAAATCAAGCATCATCTTTTTGTGAAGGATAAAATAAGCATCATCTTTAAGCCATCTAATCCAAGCATCGATTTTAGAGCTTTGAAAAATGGAATTATTTCACTACAATCTATATAGAGAGTTTTTCCCATTGGATAAACAAAGATCTAGGCAGCCCGTTTGGCAATATTTTTTGGACAATATCTTCTTCTAGTTTTGACATGCAAAAGACGCATTTAGCTTTTGATATAATATTTGAGTAATTTGAACACCGTTTGGTAGATGCGTTATTTTGTGTCTTTTTCGTGAGAGAATAAAATGCAAAAGACATGAAAAGTTT